GGCCCAAGAAGTCATTACTCATCACGGCAGCTTGACCAACTGACAGCATCCCAGGGCACAATGATCAGTCACATTTAGGAGCCTGGCGCTGGACTCCCATGGCCCCTGGGAAGGAACCAGGGCATGGACAAAGACAGGGGAGAGAGAGACTGGGCTTAGGCTGACCTAACCCCTGGGTTAGGCTGGCAGTTCAGCTCTGGGGCGCTGGTGGAGGGTCAGATGCAGAGGGTGCAGGGAGAACCTGCACATCTCCAGCTTCACAGAACCTACTGCCAAAGTCACCTGTGGACCAGGTATGTTCACAGAGCGCCATGGGGAACGCCTGCCAGGCACCAGCCCACACCATCTATAGTCACGAGAGCTAAATTAACACTCGAGCATTTGGGCATTCGCACTCACAATGCCTCCGGTGAGCTGCGTGCCGTGCTCCTCATAAACAAGTCATCTGGAAAATAAGTAAGCCTGTAAAAATCCAGCCCATCACAAGTTACCAAACCTGTTTCGGAGTAAAACAACCTACAGCAGCTCACACCGGGAGCCTGGTGGCGGAGCCGACCCCAGCCTCCCCAGCACTGGGGCTCCCAAGGTCCCAGCAAAATGTCCCTGGAAGATGGCAGCATGGGGATGTGACACGGGACTCTTGTTTCAAACAGGAGGGGTATCTCTAGTGACAGGGCCATCTAGCAGAGAAAAGCTGGTGGCATTTTCCCCTCTAGAGACCTAGAGCTTTTGAACCGCAATAGCAATCAGCTGGGGCAGGTAGGAAAAATGCATGGACCACCTCTGCACTGGGGCTGTTGGCCAACACTGGCAAAGGACCAGAGTTTCTGGTACAGACTTGGGATTCATCTCTTCCTGTGCTCCTACCAAGTGCTCACCCCTCCTCTCTCCCATGCTTTAGAAAGCACCTGAGCTGGGCTTACCTGGGGGGCTGCCAAGAAAGAAAGCCCAAACCCACAGAGGAGCAGATGGGCCCAGCAGCCCAGTCCCTGTCTGTCCCCCTGGATTTGCCAAATGGGCGCTGCTCCTACATGCCCACAGAAGGATCCCCAATGTTTTCCCACAGGTCTACGGCACCACAACGCGCTTCCTCCCTCTTAGCGTTCAAAATCACCGGAGATCTTCAGAATGTGGAGGGATTTTCTCCCCATTTCCCAAAAAGGCACTGCAAGCTAGGTCACAGAGGGGAATCTACCTCCAACCCCTGAAACTCAAGACGGAAGCAGAAGCAGAGCCTCTACCCAGGTCCCTTCCCGCTGGTGGCACCTCCAGCGGAGGACAGGCAGCTGGGACATCCCCAAGCAAGCTGTGATGTACTTGGCCTCAATCACCCGTGTCCCACACAAAGATGGGGCAAACATAGTAATACCCCACAAGTGAGCCCCTTTCTTTGGCCGCTGCCTTCTGACCCACGCTCCAATCCCAGCAATGTATTTTGCTCCTTTTTGGATTAAAAAAAAAAAAAAAAAAAAAAAAAGACAGGCAGCTGGGACATCCCCAAGCAAGCTGTGATGTACTTGGCCTCAATCACCCGTGTCCCACACAAAGATGGGGCAAACATAGTAATACCCCACAAGTGAGCCCCTTTCTTTGGCCGCTGCCTTCTGACCCACGCTCCAATCCCAGCAATGTATTTTGCTCCTTTTTGGATTAAAAAAAAAAAAAAAAAAAAAAAAAACGCAACACCCGCGCTCTCAAACCAAAATAAACTTGTGGAAGTGTATGATGAGCAGAATGTGTACTCATTCTTGGTGGCACCAATTACATGGGCTAATTTGTTGCCAGAC